AGGCAGAGATGCTTACTTGAAGGGGCAGCACTCGTGTGATGTTAGGAAGCTCATAAGTGGCAGTTGTGTTTAAAATGAGTGTTTATGTCATTATTTTCAGTTTACATACCCAACATAGGTTTTATTCCTTAAAGGCAGCCAAATTTGTTCATAACTTTATTATTAGGAAGCCTGAGAGTTACCGGATCTAAGCAGTAACTGGAACGCACCCTGTCAAAACAAGAGAGTTCCCATATCCTGTTTGGGCAGGATCCAGCTCAAATTAAGCCCTGGTTGGGATGAATGATTGCAACTGAAGGAGAAATGGCCAAAACTTAAAATAGAAGCAAACAACAACAACAAAGAGGATCACAAAGAAACAAGAGAAAAAGGTTGATAAAAATGAACTGAACTAATAAAAGAACAAAAACAACCACAGAACTCGTGGTTCTGACAGGTATGTTTTTCTAACCCTAACAGTCGTTTTAAGGTTCAAGCTTCTTTATTCGCATCAAATGTGGTACATGAGGTGGAACAACATTGTGTACTCAGGGTTCCAGTTACACCCAATTTAATGCATAAATATCCTGATGCATGCTCAACAATCAAGGTAGAAAATCTAAAAACGTTAAGTCTGGTCTTCTGGACATTCAAAAAACAAAACAAAACAAAAAAGTAGAAACGTTTCGTCTTTCATCCAAAGGACTTCTTCAGTCTGAGGTGCTGTATTCAGCTCAGTCTTATGAATAGCACCTTCTCAGAGTGGATCAACCAGTTTGCTGCTGCATGAAGATAAACGTTATGGACTCCAAAATGTTGGATATGACCTTTGACCCTTCTTAGATTGATGGACAGCAACAGTTTATTTTATGAGATAATTGCTGATGTCTTCACGCCTTGGCGTTGTGTCATCCAGAGCAGCAAAAACTTCCGTGTTTTGTTTAATAAATGATGACTCAGTTCAGTTTCATTAAGTCTCTATTCCTAAAACCCTGGAAATAACCAACCATAACCAGCATCGGTGGTGTTGTCTGCATGTTTGTGTTTGTTAGCAGAAAATAAAATAAAAAATATAAATAAAGAGGAGCCAGCTGGGTTGTGGAGTGGATCCAAAAGAAGGAAGGAGGAAGATGAAGCTGCCTGCTCTTTTCAGAAGTCACTGCTGTTCTGCGCTGTGGGACCGAGGCGGACTCCAACCTGAGATTGAGGGCACTTGTCTGCTGAAATTGGGGCCAGCAGATGGCATTTCATTTGGAAATGCACTCAAAGCTGCTCAGAGCTTTGGAGGGACGTGGTGACGGGCGGACACACAAACCGGATCGGTCACATCAGGAGCAGAAAACTAAAGGCCAATTAGGATCAGCAGAGAGTGACGCTCCGGGCCTCCGGAACAATGAGACGCCGTGACCTTTAGAAAACACACATTTCTGAGGAGGGCGCGCGCTCAGGTCTCCTCCTGAGTTTGTTCTGAAAACGCTGGTTCTTTTCCTCTAAAATCAAATTATCAGGCAAAAAAAGAAAATGTTTAAAACTGAAAAATGAAGATTGTTATGAATAAAAACCTTTCGAACATAAAAGACCTCCTTGAAGGAATGCATATCGCCCGCTGCCTTTAGTTTGAATCTTCAATCATCGTCTGTTGAAAAAAGACGGAGTTTGAGTCGTTTGGACCAAACCATAAAATATAATGAGTGCTCTTATATTATCATGCATCACACTCAGAGTGTGCGATGTGAAGGACTCTCAGCTACTACCACACCCAACTCTAGCTCAGATCTGTAAGGATGTTGTTAAATGGAGCCACTCTTGTGTTTTATAAGCTTGGTTAGCTGTGGCAGCCATCTTTAATTGGGTTGGCTTCATGTTTAATTCCTGAAAGTTCAACTCAAATCCAGCAGCTCATGACATATTTTGCTAACAGACAGAGCTGACTGACCTTGAGGGTGGGAGTTGGACTCTGACAGGGCTGCACGTTGGCACCGGTTCTGTTCAGAACATTTCTCCATCTTGGGGTCCGGATCGGTGGCCTCAGGATTCTGTCTCTGCCGTTTGCAGATGATGTGGTTCTGTTGGTGTCATCGTGCCGTGGTCTCCAGCTCTCACTGGAGCGGTTTGAGGATCAGCACCTCCAGATCTGAGGCCATGGTCCTCAATCAGAAAAGGGTGGACTGGCGGTGAATTGTTCAGGAGAGACTCGAAGTAGAGCAGCTGCTCCTCCACATCCAGGGGAGCCAGTTGAGGAGGTTCAAACATCTGGTAAGGACGGACACTGGACGCCTCCCTAGGGATGTGTTCCAGGCATGTCCAACTGGTAGGAGACCCTGGGGATGCTGGAGAGACTAGGTCCCTCAGCTGGCCTGGGAACATTTTGAGAGTCCTCCCAGAAGAGCTGGAAGAGGTGGCCTTGGAGAGAGATGCTGGACCTCCAAGATCAAGCTGCTTCCCCCAAGACCCGAGTCCAGAACAAGAGATGGATGGATGATGGATGGATGATGGATGGATGGACTGACAGAGCTGTCTACAGTTTATTTAAAGGTTTTAAACAACACTAAACCTGTGAGCGGTCAGAGTCTCTGTTGGGGATTTTTTTTGGCTATTATCACGTCACATGCTCAACGTGTGTAAACCTGACTGAGGATATTTTTATGTTTTTAAAGATCACTGTGGCCTCCATCCATCCATCCATCCATCATCCATCCATCATCTTTTACCTGCTTCTCCAACAATCAGTGTGAGAGGCGGGGGACACCTTGGACAGGTCTCCAGTCCATCACAGGGACACACAGAGACAAACAACCGTTCACTCTCTCACTCACACCTATAGACAATTCAGAGTCACCAATCAGCCTAACATGCATGTTTTTGGTCTGTGGGAGGAAACTGGAGTCCATCTTGAATTCATTTGATCTAAATATAACTTTAGCTCCGAGCGTGACACTTTCTCCTTGTGTTTGGTGAAAAGTCCTGCAGCCTGTTTGTCACGGAGCTGCGGTCCAAGTGACGGGCTGAGGCCCAGTGATGCTGACAGGTCTGGACTCAGAGGAGTTCTGCTGTCACGGCAACACAACGACCACACCATCAGGGCGAGGTGCCGGCGGCATGACGGACACACCCCTGAAGCTCTGTCCTGAGCTGCAGTCGGAGCTCACCTCCACCAGCTGCTTCAAACGCTTCCTGTGCGACGACAGGAAGTGGGAAAGCACCGAGGCTGGACCAGAACTGAAGCTCATCTTTAATAAAGCGTTTAACGTTTGTACAACCGGTGCAGATTCTAAACCAAAATCATTTTTGTTTGAGGGAACTGCTTCGTTTTATTAGTTTTCCTGGACGTGAGTTTTAACAACAGAACCATAAAAATGGAAACTGCAGCTCAGGTTGTCCTTTGAAAGACTTTCAGGTCCTGAAGGTGCAGAACCAACAGACTGAAGACTGGGTTTGGTCTGTGGGCCATAAGGACTCAGGACTCGGAGCAGATCCATCTTTCAAGTCTTAACCAACCGTTGATCCGTAACAATCCAGACTTCGGGCACTTCGTGCACCGGTCAGTGGCGGCTTGTTGATTTTCCTCATGCACCTTTTTAAGATGACAACACAAACATGAATTCATTCATGCAGACGTGGCCCAAGTTTTTAATCTACGCAAAATGCTGCAACTAAAGACTGATGTAATGATTTACACAGAACTCCATCACAGCACACGATAAATGTTTGAAAATCAAATGTTAGCATTAAATAAAACGATCAAAGATCAGATTTAGATTTTAAACATATTGAGCTAAAGTTTAGTGAAGATTATCTGACACTTCAATACAAGCTTCAAACTCAAGGCTGCATTTTTATTGAAGCACTGCTTCAAAGCCTGCTTTGGCAGGAGAAAACATGTGACCAAACACATGACTGAAACACGTGACTGATCACATGACCAGTTCAAACCAGTCATCTGAGCTTCCTCTCCCATGATGCCTTACTACAGATGGGATCTACAGTTCTTTGAAGGGAGCTGGATCTCGAGGATCCATTCTTTTAAAAACAAGTTCAAGAGACAATTTGGAACAATGAGGTACTGGTGTACACGTGCACGTAGACATACTGTTGCAACCTCTTGCCTCCCTCCGTGAGCGCATGTTCGCCAATCAACTGCTGCGCTCCTTGTTTGGCTGTTGTTCGTTTCAGAGGAGAGGCACGAGAAGTTTGTGGGACTCAGTTCAGATCGTTTAAGAAGACAAAGGACTCGGCTCGTTCATGGACGTCACATCTCTACACTGCACCACTGTACCACAAGATGACGTAGTCCACTAAACTTCACACTCACATAATCAATGGAGCAATCGATCAATATTTACGAAAATATTACGTAATTTGGTGGCATGGTGGTGCAGTTGATACAGCTGCTGCCTCTCAGGTCGCCGGATCAAATCCCAGAAGGGGCCTTTCTGGGTGGAGTTTGCATGTTCTCTCCATGCTGTGTGAGTTTTCTCCGGGTACACGCTTCCTCCCACAGACCAAAAACATGCACGTTAGGCTGATGGTAACTCTGAATTGTCTCTAGGTGAGTGAGAGAGTGAATGGTTGTTTGTCTCCATGTGTCCCTGTGATGGACTGGAGACCTGTCCAGGGTGTCCCCCGCCTCTTGCACAGTAACTGCTGGATATGGACCAGTGACCCGAAAAGGAAGAAGCAGGTAAAGTTGATGGATGGATGGTTCCATAATTCCCACAAACCCGGTCTCCTCACAGAATTGTGAACACGTCGTTTTGCTCCTCCTCCTCCACCAGACGTCACTGAAGCTTTGAAAGAACCATTTTCAGTAAAACAAAGTGGTTCAATGTTCATAGGTTCAGCTGTTCACCACTATTAATCCCTGAGGTGGTAGTAGCTGAGGATCACTCACAACATGCTCTGAGACATCATGAGATCGCGCATGGACTGGCGGGTGATATGCATTCACCTTTAATCTCTGATTTAGGATTTTATTTTCCACTGAGTTACAAGTGCACAGAATAAAACCAGCTCACCACGTCTGAACCCAGACTTTGGTTTATTTACAAACACGAGAGGACGCGGCAGAGTCCGGTCTACAGGCTGTGGATGATGGTCCGGTTCTTCAGGTTTTGGACGAACTCCTTGGCCTGGTCCAGGCTCGTCCTCTGCTCTGTTGTGGGCGGCGAGCCCTCCACCAGCTTGACGAAGTAATGGCAGTAAACTTTGTCCATCAAGCTGCATTGGCCTTTACCATGGTACCGGATCTTATTCAGGTACTGCCCTTTGCTGGAGAACGACTTGGCTGCAGGAGACACGGAAACAAAACCATATTTCTGATTTAACTCGTTTGATTTATAACGAAACAGAAAAACAAACCATCAGTAACTTGGTGTCAAATCAAATCTGCATTCCATAAAAGAAGAAAAACTTCCAGCTGCAGTTTCTTTTCTTTGTGTTTATGGAGAAAAAGTTCAAACTTGTGAAGAAACTTGTCTAAACTTTATGTTTTAACTGATCTGATCCAATAAAACCTCCAGAGTTCAGTTTTCAGTCCTCTTTAATCCAGTTTTAGGAAGTGATTTGTTGTGTGTGTGCAGACACTCACCTACGTACAGGTTGGATTTATACTCCACGTTGTGGTTCTTCACCGCCATCTCCTGAGCTTCACACAGAACCTGAAAGAACCGGTCCGTTAAAACGGGTTTCTGCAAACACAAGCCTGAGCTCCTCCGTGTGGACTGAACCTCCTCTCTGTTCTCTGCACGTTTGGTGGTCCCAACACCGCCAGTCCACAGCCGAGCTGCAGGACCTCCTACTGAGCCGGCGTGATGGAAGAACTTACTGATCTGCCTCCTGGTACGTTGCAGCGTGCATTTGTTAGACAATATGATTTGAGTGCACACTTCATAACTCCTTGTTTGACTCTGTCATTGGGATCTGATCAGTTTATTTGATGCTCAGTTTGGAGAAAGACAGGGCCAAGTAACAGCTAGCAAGACACGCTTATCAGCCCCCCCTCCCCAAATAAACTAATAATTTCATTTCAGGAAGTTGGATCGGGTCAGAACTCAGACAGGATGAAGAAGTTCTGTACTTGATGCATGGACTCTCTGGCTGCTCTCCAAACTTTGGAATAAATTTAATAAGTTGACGCCTGATCGTCTGTGAACTGAGACACAAACGGAGCAGACATCGGGGGGGGGGGGGGGGGGTATTTCTCTAGTACTCCTGTATTTCACCTGCGCTGCATGTGTTGGGCAGATTCTCCACAGAGAAGAAACTCTAGAGTTTAAATATGAACACAGTCCAGATGTGTGAGTGGACTTCCAGCTGCTGATGTCCTGCTTGTTGCTCTGTTTGTTTCTGCTTCCAGTGGAAGTCCCTGACACGATTTATCACCACGCGTGAACAGAGGCGTCGGAGCTGAACTCAGTAAATCACCTGATCTGATCTCTGACACAAATCTGTCCGCCGAGACTCTGGAGTAACAACACACGAGTGGATTCTGATCAAACCCACGGCTGTGAAAAGAACAGGAAGCTGCGCACCTCCTTCATGATCTTTGCTCCTTTCTTGTCGTTGAATTGCAGCTGGGCGATAGCTTCGTCGATGCTCATGCCTCGGATCTACGGGGGACAAACATCAGGAATCATCAGGAGACAAACATCAGGAGACATCAGGAGACAAACAACAGGAGACATCAGGAGACAAACAACAGGAGACAAACATCAGGAGACAATCATCAGGAGACATCAGGAGACAAACATCAGGAGACATCAGGAGACAAACATCAGGAGACATCAGGAGACAAACAACAGGAGACAAACATCAGGAGACAAACATCAGGAGACAAACATCAGGAGACAAACATCAGGAGACAAACCTCAGGAGACAAACATCAGGAGACAAACATCAGGAGACAAACA